TATATATATCTATATATATATATATATAGTGATACTAGTTGTTTAATTTCTTGATGTTAGTTTTGAATATATGTGCATTTCTTTCTTAATGCATACATAGTTTCAACTGAGTTAAACTGCCAGAGGTGAATTAGATTAGGAAGAATGGTTTCATATTAGGTCACTTTTTAATATGTCTTCCTGATTCGCTTCTTTATTCATAACCTATTTGGCTTCCAGCTGACCTTCAGTACATTCTGATTCTGTCCCTTAATCTACATAATAAGTATTCATCCGAAGTGTGTTAATATGAGCTTTTTTTCCATTGTGTTTTTTTTTACACAAGAAATTAGATACCATTTCTCAGTGTGTTGTGTGAATCTGGATTCTCGATGTGTACCAATGCAATAATGTATTTTTTATTGGGTATTTTTCTTCTAATAAGAACATTGTTTTTCAATATGTCTTTTTATAGCAACTGTGGCAGCCATGTATTATAGTTACTATATGCTACCTGATGGAACCTATTGCCTCGCGCCTCCACCTCCAGGAATAGATGTTGCCACCTACTACAATGCGTTGCCTGCAGGAGTGACTGTATCAAGCACTACAGGGGTAGCAACAGTACCTCCACCCCCTGGTACTACTCCTCCACCTCCTCCAGACACAACCAATAGCAGCAGTGGGTTGACTTCTACCACAACAACGACAAGGTACCACATATAGATTTGCTTGTTGGTGGAAGGGTCTCTTTTCTGCACTTCAATATGAAGTATTTAGTAAGAGTTATTATTGGTGATCCATCAGTAACATTCACCAGTGTTTATACAGCTTTGATTACCTTCACTTTGGTCTTTGATATTGTACGTGGTTATTGTTGCTCAGCTACTATGAAGTTTTTACGTGATGGAAATCAAGTTATTTTAACTGCAGAATGAACCTAGAGAGCAAACCTCAATTCAATGGTGTTTTTGTTGTTAAAGCAAGAGTCTGAAAGATACTTCTTTTCTATTTATAAAAAAGATGTACTTTTGATGTTTTTCAGCACAATTACTCCAGTGGTTGCCATTATACCTCCACCCCCAGATATTCAACCTGTGATTGATAAGCTAGCTGAGTATGTTGCTAGGAATGGGATAAAATTTGAAACCAGTGTTCGTGCCAAGAATGATCTCAGGTAAGAGAAAACATTGTTTTAACTTCTGTTTTAAAAGTTGAGGGTTTCATTTTTAAATACATTACCAGGACATGTGGGTCTCAAGAAAACAAGTACTATCTTTCTTTTTTTTTTTTTTTTTTAAATTGAAATTCAGAGACCTACTTAAAGGTAATGCCAAGCATTATTGCCCAAATCCTCAGAACAACCAACCTAACAAAAATTGTGTCTAGAGAGCACGCTCTGAATGTGTATCCTCTTACATTTAGGTATAAATTACAATGCTTCTGAACATGAGATAGCATTCCATTTGCTAGAGAAAATTACAAAAAAGTTGGTATTTACTATGTTCATGTGCATTTTCACATGTCCTGTTTTCATTTAACAGATTTGAGTTTCTACAACCTTGGCACCAGTATAATGCTTATTATGAATTTAAAAAACAGTTCTTCCTTCAAAAAGAGAGCAGTGACAGCTGTCAGGTACATGTATGTTTTTATATTTGTATATTAAAAATGCAGTGTAAGTGAGAAAAGGACTTGCTTATCTATTGCGTTACCATGATATGTTTTAAAAATGGAACACTGAATTATGGAGAAATTGTTTGGCAAAGGATGCAATTGGTTTTTTGTTTGTTTGCTTTTTAGTTTCGTATAGCATTTAAATAAGGGTGGTATGATACTTAGTTCTTGCTTTTGAGTATAAGCAACTGCTCAGTGTGGTTGTGATATAAAATGGCAACCTGAAAGTTTTTCAGCTTTCTATACAAGGCAATATATGGTTTGTGGAGGTTTAGAGCTTTGTAGGATTGGGATTAGTGTTAGGTATAGCTTTTTAACAACAATACCTTCTCGTATGCCTCATGGTTCTTTGTAGAACAATAGCACAGTAGCTAGACTACTTTTCTGACATGCTTTTTTCTGATGGAGGTTTTGTTAAAGAAGAGTCCTGTCATGATTGACTGAAACAATATTGGAGCTTCAAAATCTCACGTCATTTCCTACTTGCTTTGCTGCTTCTAGTCCATGTTCTTAGAAGATGACACCCAGACTTGGCATCCTTGTTTTTAACTATACTCATGTTAGTTAATCTCATTAGCTTGTTCTCTTACTGCAAAGAAAATTGCAAATAGTTATCTGATGTTAACTTTTCATGGGAAAGAGCTATTTTTTTTTTAGGCCCTATGTCATTTGTCATCTCAAGGCTTAGATTGGGGAGCCTTAAACTAAAGAAGGTAGGCCTGTGGGTAAACTCAAAATTACTTTGTGGAAAATGAAGAAATTCAATCCTAGTTGCTGTTTGAAACACTTGTGTCTAATATTTTGTTTTAATAGTGAAAAATGTTTTGAAAACACTGGTTTTGAAGATAAGCTGTGGTAAATATGACCTTATTCGGTTGATAAAGTACATGCAAAATTGTCCGGTACCACAATGCTGACTGTTACTCTAGAATTTCTTATTTGCAAACCAGTGGGTTGAATTCATGATACTTACATAATTAATAAAGGACTTGTGAACATTTATTTTGGGGGGAAATTATATACTATTCAAAGTGTAATAGTAAAGGATTTGTTTTAAGTGTTCAAATGAGTACAGCTAAGAAGCAAGCAGAAACTGATTTAAGTCCCTTGAGGTCATGTGTAGCAATGTATATTTTCCTACTGCATGGTTTTGTAGATAATGCCATTCTCTTTAATTTTTTAGAATAATGATTTCATTATTAGCTTTATGCTTTGGTAATGTACATACAGTCAACTAATGCAATTGATTGTTCTCCTTTTGGCCGTTAAAGTTAATAAGAAATTGTACTACTGGCTTCAGTAAATACAGGATGAAGTCCTTGATTTCCTTGTGGTTTTCCTCTTCGAGGATTTTCAGAGATTAGTTCTGTTGGTCAGGGAATGGCTGCAGGGAGCAATGAAAGGATCTCTTCAATACCTGGTATTTCAACATTAAGTATACTTAACAACAGCCAGTGGAAAGCAACCAAACTATTTATTGAGAGAGGCTCATTTAAATGTTAAATTAGTTAATGTCATCGCCTGACTTGCCATGTAAATACTTTTAATGTCGTACAATATCCATCTTGAAATTTTTATACTGTGAATTTAGAGGTTGTCTTGAATGATTCAGTCATGTAATAGTAGAACTGATAATTCTTTACTCTTTCAAAAATCTCAGCACGTTTGTACTGTATCAATTTAATGCCACAAAAAATATTGATAGGCCCAATGTTCTTCAGCTGAATGTAGGAACAAATCGAACACGTTAACCTGTGTTGATCCCTCTAAAACTTGATTTTTGTAAGCAAGGTATCATGCAATTGTACCTTTGGAAAAAATGTCATAAGCTTTCATTCTGTTGATGTGAATTAACTTTAATGGATTTTGTCCCAGACCCTGGAGATCAAGACCTGAAATAATATACTTTGGAAAAACAGTATATGCTTTTAGGGTCTAATTTTAAAAACATAATTTTTAAAACAGTTGTTGGCAAAAGTGAACCAGCTGAAGAACATTTTCTTCACTATAAAATAGCATACACTCTTACTGTAGGTCTGTAGTTTTTGCAGCCTGTGGGTTTGCATGAAGCAGTGCATTATTTATAAGAAGCAGACTTTTGGTCATGAGTGCATATTGATGTAGAATTAGCTGTTATGTGATTAGCTGATAATGTGATTTTTGACATAGCTAGCAAAATTGCAGCTCCACAGACACTACATTAATTCTTTCATCAGCTACCCAATTAGTAAGCTTGCACATTTCTTTTGGAAAGGGAGTATCTTCCTCTGAAGATGTTCCAGCAGATACTGCCGGTGATACACCAAGTGAGACTCAATTTGCAGATGAACATGCACCTGAAGATGCATCTGAGCCAAGTGCTAAGGGAGTTCCAGGCACTAAAAAGGATGTTCCTCCTTCTAAAACTATCAGTGATGGTAAATTGGTGAAAGGTATGTTAGCATGATGTGTTGGGCGTGAAAATATTTGTTAGCATATACTTAAGAAAAAAAGGCATGGGGAGAGGCAGGGGGAAAGTAGGGAAAAGAATTTCATCATGTGCAAAATATTTTCACTGGAAGCATCAAAAAAGGACTGAAATAAATAATTTTACTGCTTTCATATTTCTGTCTTATCAGACTATCAGGTATTTATGGTCTGACAGAATAAATTGTTTTATTTCAGTTTTGTGCAAAGTTGAAGGCTTTCATCAGTGACCCCAGTAGAATCTTATTTTTGTCATTTTAAACTTGGCAGTTTCAAGCTCTATGCAGGAAAGAAGTTATTCCTTCTGAATAAAAGCAGTAGTCTTATTTGAAACCATACATATGGAGGAAGTACGCTAAGCTTATTACTCATTTGCTCAGGCTTCCTGTGTTGAATGTTAGTCATACTGGAAAAAAAGACCCTTTTCATGTCTAAGTGGAGTGTTTTTCCTCTTGCAGTCATAGCAGCAGAGGGACAAAATGGGAGAATCTCTTGGAAGCCAGTCAAACAAAGTCAGCTAACACACTATTAGTGTCCTGAGTTGGAGAAGCGATTATTTATACATGGGAACTGATTTCCTGACCTATCAGGAAAAGAGATCTTAAAATTTCTTCTTTTCGGTAGAGACTAGAAATGTAGATCTTTTAACTAGAACTGAAAGCCACTGAAAAAAAAAATGAAACCAGAAAAACACGCTTGACATGTTCCCATGGATGGGTACTGCCTTCCTGCCACTTCAGTGGCTTGCTTTATTTGCTGATTAGTTTATCTATTCCCTGTGGTCCCTTGGAATTCTTCTGTGTTCCTACTCCGCACTGCAGTTTCTTTACCTCCATGGGCTGCAAGCTCCAAGCGCTTTGCTGTGGATGTCTGGCTGTCCATGCTCTGCAGTTTCTTCTCTGGGCAGGTTGAGTAGCTTCTGCAGGGAAGAAGCAATCTTCTCTGTCTTCAAAGATGCCCTATTAAGAGAATGTAATATACAACAGAAAATGATATACTTTCTTGTTGTTCTGTTATTAATAAATGGCAAACTGGAGCCTGTGCTTTAATAATAATAATCTGCTCAAATTTAGATGATGGAGTGTAACCAGTGAGTCATTTCATGACAATCCTATTCCTAACTCATTTTCATTTCCTCTAATATGGTACAAATCCCACTTTCTTGTAACCTAAATACAGTACTTGGCTGCAAGACAGACATAACATCCACACTAGATTTTTCTTTCAGCCTCTGAGGGCGTAAAATCCCATTTTAGGATTTGTTTTGTCGTATTATAATAGTGATTTTCCAACTTTTCCAGTATCTCCTCTTGGAATTCTTGCATTCTTTATTTCTGGGCCTATTTCCTTACCCCAGAATTACAAGATTCAAAGCTTATATTTTATAAACCTTGGTATGTAATTTATTATTGTATTTAAATTTCCCTAATAGAAATCTTATAGGATATACATGCAAAAGGCATCCTAAGAAAGATAAATATTGCAGCAGACCATATGGTAGTAGGTTGCTTTGCTTGAGATGTGTGAGAGATTCCATTCTTTATTCTTAGAAGTTGCATTTTAGATAAATGGTTTAGAGATTAATTCCGTGTTTATTTCAGAAAATGGTTCTCAAGAAATGTTCCAAGGAAAATTCTGTGAGGCAAAAGAATTAGTTCAGACTTAAATATAGTTATGTATTAGCTGCGCTTAGTATTTTTTGAAGATACATTAGTACAACTTAGCTTGAAATGATCCACAATTCCCTTTTTATTGTGGTATTCTATGTTTTTTACAGAGATTCTTTTTCCTTTGAGTGTGCTGGCATGAGTGTGTTGTGCTGTCCTTTAGTATTGGAGTAGTCGGGGCTGCTTGAAAGGAATAGTTGGCCACCAATCTTGCTACGGCAAAACTAGCTAAGACATTTGGGGAAAAGTACTTAGCTTTTGTGTTTATATCTCCTGTAATGAAATGTTGTTAACTCCCCAAAGTAATTAATTTTCATATAGATGGAAATAAGTATTTAAATACTGTTCTGTGAGCCTGCCAAATGCTATTGTTGTGCAAACCATGGATTTAGTGTGAAGGAAACGTAAGGGACCATATCATTTTGTAGTGTGTCAGATAGAAGCCTGAGCACAGAGCGTTTTCATCTTAAGCTTGGAAGAATAGATTATTCATTAGGGAAAAGAAGAAGTACTGAAACTAAAATTTATTTTGAACAGAATATAAAATTATTTAGTTATTTATCTCATCTCAGGAAATGTAATTCCTGAGATGGTTTAGAGTACCTTTCTTCTTCCCTACTGCTACTGAAGTATTAGAAAAAGACTTTGAGAGAGATCTTTACAGGGCAAATGAAGTTTCCAACAGTTGTTTAAAAAAAAAAAAAAAAAATTTGAGTTATCCTTTTCCCCAAAATAATTAGCATAATCCAAGAATGATACAAGGTTCTTTTTTTTTTTTTGTGATGTAGTCTACATGAATAATGGATTAAATCAAGAAATTCAACTTGCATTCTGCTATAGTCTAATGATGTGTAAAATCCTACCCATTCATTCACAGCATCATTTGCTCCAATAAGCTTTGCAATCAAGGCCAAAGAAAATGACCTTCTTCCTTTGGAGAAAAACCGTGTTAAATTAGATGATGACAGTGATGAGGAGGAAGAAGAGGGTAAGGAAGGCCAAGAGAATGTTAATAGTGCTTCAAACCATACTCCAGCTGTTGCCACTCCTTGTACTGCTGCTGAAGAGAAAAAACCTCAACTTACACAGGAGGAGTTGGAAGCTAAACAAGGTATCCCATGTTACACTGTAAACAAAATGAAAGATTGAGTCCTTCAGGCAATCTACAAAACTGTAATGTGTATGAGTATGAATAAGTATGGCACTTTAGGTGTTTTGAATCTTCATTATGTCATGTTAACAAGAAGCAGAATTCTTTTCTTTTCCCACAGTTTCCTGCTTATTGTTAAGAATAAAATCTTCATTGGTTGCTCAGCTGAAATCAAATTTGTAACACACTGGGGTCGAGTACTTTGCCTTAATGCATGATCTTTCTGAATTTTATTTTGTTTTTCCATTACAACCTCTGAGTAAAACACTAAACTTCTAATTTCCAGATTGCATTAAGAGAGCCCAGAAAAAGGCATGTCCGTTTCTCATTTTCTTCAGAGAACAATGAAATGCTTCAAGCTATTTTTCAGTTATGTAGCACTCCCATATAGACTAAGATCACCTTGTTGATGTTTTGTTACCCTCATAATGCCATGCCATTAAGTCTTTGTATGGGTTTTTCCTGTTACTGTGTTTATGTATGTAAGGACAGAAGGGGATGCTGTGTGAATTTAAAAGATCGTTTCATTCAAAGGGGTCGAATTTCCCCCATTCCTCCCCAAGGCTGTTTCACAGCAGAGAGTGTTTGATAAAGTGGAGACGCTGTCATTATTTACCAGCTTAAAAACTTAATATTTCTTTTAGAACTATGAGTATGCCAGAGGAATTTAATTTTTGTTTTTTGAATTTATTTTTTTTTACTTCTAAGTAGCAGCTCCTTTGTAAACTTTAGTAGCACAAAGTATGCTATGGTGATACATACCTAAAGCAAATATGAAATATTTTGTATGATAATAAAAAGGAAGTCTAAAACATATTTGGAAAAAGTTGCATGTTGAAAAACCTGTGCGGTTGAACAAAAAAACCAGTCGTCTTGTACGTGCACAGAACACAAAAGTGGAAATGTAAGATGAAAGAGGTTAGACTAAATATCCATTAAGTGCATAGTTAAATAAATTCACTTTTTCTGTAATCACATAACTATAACTGTTGGTTATAACAGTGGTGAAACAGTTTCTGAAAATTTCTGGAGCAGCCTTTTGTGTAAACATTTAAGATGTATATAAATAGAGCTGGGATATGTAAGGTAAAGATCAGATCTGTGGAAAGAGCAAAATGGAGATTTTGCATCGCTCTAACAAGTACAAGAAAAAGCTTCTGAATTTACAATGCTACTTTTTTAGATAGCTTTTGTAAATAGAAAAGGACAAGTATTTTCAGGATTGGATTTTCATGTCACTTTCTTTAAGCTTAAAAATTTTTACCTCACCTCTACTGCTTTTCGTCAAGCAAGTGATATATCTCTGAATTAAGATGCTTTGGAATTTAATAATTTCAAGCTGGTAAATCCCTATTATGTCTTTGAATGGATGTATTAGATTTGAGAATGGTTGGAGGGGCTGTTTGGTTGTTTGTGTTGGAGAGGTGTGTTTGTTTCAAGGAAACCTAAGTTCCCCAAGTGTGACTCACTGTAAACTTAATTGTCTTTCTTAGCAAAACAGAAACTAGAGGATAGATTAGCAGCTGCAGCAAGAGAGAAGCTTGCACAGGCCTCCAAAGAATCAAAAGAAAAGCAATTACAAGCAGAGCGCAAAAGGAAAGCTGCACTATTCTTGCAGACCCTGAAAAACCCTCTGGCAGAGGCAGAAACTGACAAAATTGAAGAGAATTCCTTCAATAACGAGGTAAGCAGGAATAAATTTCTCTTTACGTAAAGCTAGCAGAAAACTTGCCTATGGAGTGTGAATCTGACAGTATGTTATGAAGTTGACTGAAGAGATAGAAGCTTTTCTAAATGGGGAGAAATTTGAATTTTAAACGCCGTTAATCTTTTTCAGTTATCTTACATATGTGTCTCATCCGTCGTTAAGAACTAGTAGAGCAATATGATGCATAATTCAGGGATCAGTTAGCCAGTTGAAGGAAAATGAACTTGCAGGTTTAACTCTGTACTCATGGTCCATGAACTAGAATGCTTACCTTCCAAGAGTAGTTGGATATCTGTTGTGATATTTACTTTTTTAATGTGTATTTTGATGTGAGTAGACATCTTCAAGTTCAGAAACGCATCACAGGCAACTGAGCTTACTTTAAGACTTATTTTGCACCTGTTCTGCTGGGGTTTGTTGTTTGATTTTTATTAATTTAACTGGCATGAAACTGAGATGAATAGTTAGTGAACTGATCTATGTGATTTAAGGTTTCTCACTGGGACATCCTTAATCAAGAAAACAAATACACAGGTGGAAGAAAACTAGGCTTTATAGTGGTTGCTGTCCGTCCTCTTTGTGTTAATTGAGTATTTAATGTAAACTCCTTAAATGCTTAGAATGCTAGGATGTTTTTCTCTCTCTTTTAGGCTCAAGTTTAGTTTGGAAGTTACAGAATATGTTGTTTATTATAAGGATATGATTTTTAAACTGAAGTTATATTTACAGGTAGTGGCAAAAAATTCAAACAGATGTACGTATGCATGTTATTCACTGGGCACATCAGTGAAGAGTCAAAACAAAAAACTCAAAGAATTATCAGGGTTGGAAGGGACCTTTGGAGATCATCCAGTCCAAGCCCCCTGCCAAAGCAGGTTCATCTGGAGCAAGTTGCACAGGAACATGTCCAGGCAGGTTTTGAATATCTCCAAAGAAGGAGACTCCACAGCCTCTCTGGGCAGCCTCTGCCAGTGCTCGGCCCCACTCAAAGTACAGAAGATCTTCCTCACGTTCAGATGAAAGTTCCTGTGTTTCAGTTTGTGCCCGTTTTCCACTAGCCTATTGCTGGGCATCACTGAAGAGTCTGGCCCCATCTTCTTGACATCCACCCTTAAGGTATTTATAAGTATTGATGAGATCCCCTCTCAGTCTTCTCTCCTCCAGGCTGAACAGACCCAGCTTTCTCAGCCTTTCCTCATAAGGGAGGTGCTCCAGTCCCCTCATCATCTTTGTTGCTCTCCGCTGGACTCTCTCCAGTAGTTCCTTGTCTTTTGAGAGGGGTAATTATTCTGCTAGCTGTTTTCAGAGAACTGGAAGTAGGCACACTGCCTGTGCCTACTTGGTCATGAAATGACCTAATCCATTGGGTTTGTTCAGCAGAATTTCTTATGTTGGAGAGCAGGAGCAAGTATCTTTCTGTGGCGTATTGATTTGGAGGGGTAGTGTTCCTGCACTTCTTTCAAGGAAGAATTTTTGATAGTTGCATTAGAAATTCAAACCCTCTGCTTCTTTCTAGAAAACTACTAAGAAATTGTCATGCGGCAGAGGCAGACTGCTTTCCATCTTTCTTTTGCCTTGTAATTCTCTTGCCCGTTTGCACCTATTTTCATTGTTTGGATAGTCAACCGCAATAGGTAATACTAGAGTAATGTCAGTTTGAGGGCTTTCAGAGGCTCTGTGTTGAGTAGGTTGTCAGGATACTGCACTCAGGCCAAATCTAAGAGTAACCTGGATATTGATGATGATTTATTATTAGGTTTTAGGAACACAATAAAATTGCTAATAAGTTCCCTTGCCATTTGGACTATTGTTTCCAAAGGAAATGAAAAGCTAATTTCTCATAGACATATGTTGGATTACTAGAATTTTATCACAAGGAGAAAAAAGAGGATTTGTCATGCAGAAGTAGCTGCTCATCAGTTAGTTGGCATTACCTTCTGCAGAAAACAGAACTATTACTAGTCAGTCTGTTAATGAGTTTTTATAATAAAAATATCTTTTTGGGTAGAGCCTCTAGAAATCAGTTTCATAAGACTTAGAATTTTTGAGTGAGTAAGGTTAAAGAGGAGTCTTGGGCCAGAAGACTTTAGTAATAAAACTTCAGTAATGAAATATAAAAACAAACTCTAAAACCCTGTATTGATCAAAGGCACACATTTGCTTTTTTTCCTACTAATAAACAGAACATTCTGTTTAAAACAGCTAAGAAATAATGTGTTGCACGTAAACCTTTTCTGATTTCAGTAAAATAACTGCCATTTTAAAAGCCTAAATGAGGGATTTGAATTTATTATATAGGAAAATCCTTCAGGTATTGATTTGTTCATGCATCGTAGCACTGTCCTGAAGCTTTTCTCTCCATCTGCAAGTTTTGGCAGCAGAGCTGTGTTCTCTATCGAAGAGTCACTTTCCCATTTACATCGTAAATTTTCCGTTTAAGTTCCTATTTGCTTAATTTCGTCCACAGAGGAGAACAGGCTGTTTTCCTGCCTGGTTTCTGTTCTTTCTTTTTTCTTTTCCCCTTGTTCCAGCGTTTTCACTGAGCCACTCTCTCTCTCTCTGCCAGTGTAGCGCTTGTTTTAGCTTAAGAAGGGATAATTTTACTTCTGCAAGTGTCACTCATTTTTATTCAGCCTAAGCATCATTTTACCATAATCACATCCCAATCCAGTGTGATCTGATGCGTTTTTACTAAAAGACAAGGGAACCTGTGTTTCCAGCACCTGTATGGACACTTCCAACAAGTCCAGACAATCTGTTTTCTTAATGGAAGAAAAACTGTCAAAATCCATTTTCAACAAAGTCACCTTAGACTTACGTCTTCACTGCAATAGGTGTAACGAGTGGTGGGGAAAAAGTAGGAATGAATGGAATTTGGTGTAGACTATGTAGTCTCCTGAAACTTAACCTAAATAGGGCTGGAAATTCATTTAGGTTGGGGTATTGTTGCAGGATCCTTCACAAGCCAAACTGAAATTACTGTGTTTGTCTGTATATGCTGCAGGCAGACCTTCTATGCACATTGCAAATACAAATATTGTTGGGAAGTAGAACCTCAGTTTCCTGGTTTTGGAATTAAATTACTTCCAGAAAAAAACAAGCAAAACTTCATCTCCGGATACTGATAGAAAATTTCGGTTAATGATTGTGACGGACTGGTTACAAGGATGAATGACATGGCTTTCTGTGGTTTCCTTTCCCACAGAAAGAATTTCAGTACCTAACAATCATTGCCCAGTTCTTGATTTTTTTTTTTTTTTTTTCCCCAAAAAATCATGGATTACCCCTCAAAACATTTTCAAGGGAACAGACAATTGAAAGAAACGTGCCTGCAGTTTAGGTGATCCATGTCAGCATAGAGTAGCAGATGTGTGAATTGAGCGTGGTCACATCACAGAAGAGATCCTGTTTGGGATTCTCATTGCTGCTGCTAAGAAATTTTCCCTGACTGACACAAGTGTTCAGTACTTTTTTCTGTTTATATATTAAAGAGTGAGTGCAAAGAGACAATGACAATGCAAAAGTCCCCAGACTTGCAGTTCTGCTCCCCTTTTCAAGGGGATTTGTCAAGGACATAGATATTTCTAAGCTAAGATTCTTCTGATACTTTTCTAAGAGAATGCCTGAAATAACCAGTAACCCTTCGGTAACAGCTGACTCTCTTTCAAAAGAGCAGATGGATGTCCTCATTCGCATCTGAATTTATGGAAGTTCTAAGCTGAACTTACTGAAAACCATGTGAATTTTTCAACAAAAATTGCACCCTAATCCCGTTTCTCAGTAAACTGATTTGCTAAAAACTTCTTTTTCCTTCTCCCCCCTATGTACAGTTTCAGAGAAGGCATCTCTCTTCCTCACACAAAAAAAATCCATTGTATTTAAGAATTTTAAAGTAACTAGTTTCACTGCTTCTTACCAATACAAATGGCTTGGAGATGCTTTCTTTATAAAAGGGTTTATTTAGAATTTCAAATATATATTTAAATGTTACTGATGTGACCTTGCTTTTTGAAATAAAATTGACTCTTGTATTGGGAATGCTAGTACTGTGTTAATGAACAGTCTAAAATGCCGTAATGTCTTTGGAAGTAGTTCCTCCTAAGTGTAGTTTGCTTATTGACATGCTTATACATGTTTATATAGATATATGTATGTAGATTTTTGCATGTAAAAGTTTATTTTGAAATGTGAATTCTTTTCAAGCTGTTTTCTTTCCATTTGCCATGTTTGAAAAAGCTTCCATCTACATTTGTTCCAATGCGTAATCTGCCTTTTGCTGTACTTGCCTGGTTTGCCTATTTGTAACAGCCCATTTGATTAAAGAAATTTTATTGGAAAAAGATAAGTGAAATCATACTGTGGATTTGTTAGCCTCTGTTGTATATACACTGAGAATCCAGTAAGCTGCGTCAGGATGTCTAAATCAGTTTATAAATAAATATGTAGTACAGGGAGGGTTTTAAGCTTTTTCAGTCATGTTTCAGAAACAAAAACATGCATGTAAAAACACTGATTGCAAAAGTAACAAGAAGTAGCTACAGTGACTGTAATTAAAAATGTATATAAAAAAGTCAAGAGAGAGGTATGCAAAATTAGTTTTGTAGTTTGGTCAATGGATCTAATTGGGGAAATATCAGAAAACGAAGGAAAAAAATTAAATATTTAAGTCCACCAAAAATGTCACTTTCATCTCCTGTTTTGGGGGAAGGAACATCCAATGAGGAGTCCCGGAAACAAAGATTGTTATGCAGTAATCATAATGTAGTGAAATAATTATTGTAGCTTAAAATGCGTCTCAAAAAATGGAGTAATGACTGAGATGTATAATAAAGCACGAAGAGGAGTTGAGAATGTCCGTGGGAGATGCATAATTCCCACGAGATTGCCCCTGTCTAATAACTGTATAAAAACTAGTAATGCTGTTTATGTGTATACACAGTGTACACTTGTGCTGAAAACCTGCTTATCGCACTGTG